AAACTGTCCCCACAGTGATGGCCTTAGGGGAGGGGGCTTCTGCAAGGCACTGGAATCGGGAAATGTGTGCTCCTTTGACAACAATCAGAAATCTTTGGGGGGGGAGGGAAAGGGGTGCAGGCCGGCTGTAGGAGGGATGTCCTAGGACTGGTGCACAGGCCGCCTCCCTGGCCTCTGCCCTGCCGGAGCCCCCACTCCCTAAAGCTCTGTTACTTCCATGAGCAGAGGCCTTTGTGGAGATAGTGGGACTCTCCCGTCAGCCTTTTGTTAAATTGTTCCACAAGCTGGCTGTTTTACATAACACTGGACATTACAATCTGAGAGCCTGAGGCCCCTTAATTCCCGAGCCCAAGGCTCCCTCCAGTCCTTAGCCCCAGCCCCCTGCCTCTCCTCCCGACAACAAGAGTAGAGGGGAGGGGTGCAGGAGGGTTGGAACTTTGGGGTTTTTAAAGTGAGTTTAAATTTATTCTCTTTGAGAATCCACAGTCCCAAGAAATATTGAGGAGGGCCCCTGAGCGACACCAAGACAGGCACCAACATCCAGGCGATGAATTTTCTAGCGATGGGGAGGGTCTCATCATGACCTTGAGGGATCATCTGGTGAGTTTCCCTTCTCCCTACAAGGGCAGGGGGTCGGCGCTGGGAGCCAGGAGGCCCACAGCGCATCGGTCTGGTCCGGACTGTCTGCCAGGAGCCTACAGCAAGGAAGCGGGGAGCAGGGCAACGTGGGGAGCCAAGGGTCGGGGTTTCGGGTCATGGAGAAGCTGCCGGGGTGCCACAGGCGTTGGGGGAGCGGGGAAAACCAGGGCTCGCGGATGTTGTCTACCGGGCACTGCAGACCTGTCTCTGGAAGAGCTTTGGGGGTGTTGCCAGCCCCCTCCCTGCACTCGGCCCGCAGGGCCTTGGTGCCCACCAGCCAGGTGCCCAGGGCTACCTGGGCTTCGGAGAAGCAAAGGTTTGTCGGGAGGGCAGGGGCGTCCCCAGCTTCCAGCGTCTGGACCCTTCTAGGGCAAGTTTCGCCTTCCTGCGTTTTCCTCGCGGGGCCTCCATGTAACTCCAGTACCACTGTCCCGTCCAGCCAGGCTTGGCCTTGGGCCCTGGCGTCCTCGACGCGCCTCAGCCCCGCCACACGGGGGGACATCGTCGCGAACACCTTGCCCAGCACCCGGCCTCCGGGGCGATGCGAGATTCCTCTGGGGCAGGGGCCCCTCTAGGGGAGCAAGGGGGGCGGGCTTGTTGGGCTGGGCGACCCGCCGCGTTCTCGGAGGCTTGTGGGAGATGTGGAACCTGCCCCAGGGTCCCGGGCAGCAGGGGCTGCGGGGCTGAAGAGGCCGGGATGGGTGGGAATCCTTGGGGAACCAGGGCGCCCGCGGCAAAAGTCGAGAAGGACTTGGCTCTCCTCGAAGGAGGCGCAGGGTGGGGCGTTACCAGGAGCCTTGGGGACCAGGGCGGGGCGGGGAGCTGACCTGGGGCGGAGACGCAGACGGGACGGCCCTCGCCCTGCAACTCCCCGAGGGAGGCGGCTCCACACCGGCGCTCTCCTGGGGCCCGGACCCCGACTGCATTTAAAGAGCGCCCGGGCGCGCTGGATGGGGCGCCCATGAGCTTCGGAGCAGAGCCGCCCAGCCAGGCCCGGGCGCAGCTGGACATGTCCACCTACTGCGACGGCTCGGGGGTCTGCCCGGCCCCGCACAGCCAGGCCCGCGCGGCCTCGCAG